ACAGCCTTTTCAGAGCCTAATAAGATTCTGGCACACATATTATTTGCCACCTAAAATGACATAACTCTTTTTTCTGAGTTTTAGCTTTACAATGTTTCCAACCAAATAACTGGCATGAAGTTTCAAGCAGAGGTGCACAACCACCAACAACCATACCTGTCCACGTCCCCATTATACAAAAATATATGTGCACACATGTGAGCACAAAAACATCAACAGACATTATTATACTTACATACTCACTTCTTATTCACAAGAATAGATGGTTTGCACAGTGTTAACACAAAAGTTGATGACATAATAGCAAAAGAAGGTAAGTGGAAGAGATAGGGTGAGTAAAACCGAGTCTGATTAGTTCTGACATATACACACCCATGGAAGCATCATGCCAATCAAGATGGTGACAAACCAATCAATCACTCCTGAAAGTGTCCTCTTATGCCTTTGTAATCCTTGCTCTTGCCCCCTTTCCCCCCAGACAACCATTGATCTTCTTCCTGCCACTATAGGTTAGCTCACATTATCCAGAATTTAAAATACATGGAATCGTACAGTAAAAAAAGAGAGAAAGAAATAATAGGAAGCTTTATTATAGAAAGCATCTCCCAATACATACATATATCAAATCGTTACATTGTATACCTTAACCTTATGCAATGTTATTAACATATGTCAATTATATCTCAGTGAGCTGGAACACTCACAAACATGACATAACAGAATGCTAATTTGAAAGAAAATAAAACACATGCAGGAGACCAGAGTAAAACAAGGAAATTCATAAGAGTGAGGGAAATAGAAGAATAATTTCAGAAGCTTCTTCCTGTTTCTATTGTGTCTGAGCCTCATAGCTATTCTCCTTCACTTTCCTTGTCATAAAATGGACTTAAAACATTAATCTTCACATTAATTAAAAAAAAACTTTATGCTGTTCTCTTGAAACATCCCACCCTCGCCTTCTCACACAGAGTCCAAAAGTCTGTTCTGTACATCTGTGTCTCTTTTTCTGTTTTGCATATAGGGTTATCATTACCATCTTTCTAAATTCCATATATATGTGTTAGTATGCTGTAATGTTCTTTATCTTTCTGGCTTACTTCATTCTGTATAATGGGCTCCAGTTTCATCCATCTCATTAGAACTGATTCAAATGAATTCTTTTTAATGGCTGAGTAATATTCCATGGTTTATATGTACCACAGCTTCCTTATCCATTCGTCAGCCCAGGTTGGATGCATGAGACAAGTGCTCGGGCCTGGTGCACTGGGAGGACTCAGAGGGATCGGGTGGAGAGGGAGATGGGAGGGGGGATCGGGATGGGGAATACATGTAAATCCATGGCTGATTCATGTCAATGTATGACAAAACCCACTACAATATTGTAAAGTAATTAGCCTCCAACTAATAAAAATAAATGAAAAAAAAATTTAAAAAATCCAATACTAAAAAAAAAAACCTTTATGGATATATAATTCATATACTGCAAACTTTACTCTTTTGAGGTGTATAATTCAGTGGTTTTAGGAAAGTCAGAATTGTGCAACTGTTACCACTATCTAATTCTAGAACATTTTCAACACCCACAAAAGAAACCTCTTTCTCATTGCATTCACTCCCCACCACTTCCTCTCCTCTACCCCTGGCAACCACTTATCTGCTCTCCATCTCTGTGGGTTTGCCTGTTCTGGACATTTCACCTAAATGGGGTCACATGCTATGTGGCCTCTTGTTACTGGCTTTCTTTCACTTCACAGAATGCTTTTAAGTTTCATCTAAGTCATAGTCATATATCAATACTTCATTCCTTGTTATTACCAAACAATATTCCATTGTATGTATATATATATATTTTCATTTTTAACTTTTAAAAGTTGTAGTAGAAAACATATGGCATTTACTATATTAACCATTTTTAAGTGTAAGATTCAGTGGAGTGAAGTATAATATATTCATATCGCCGTGTAACAGATCTCCGGACCTTTTCTATTTTGCAGAACTGAAACTCTACCTGTGAAAACAATTCCCCATTTCTCCTCCCATAGTCCTTAATAACAACCATCCTACTTTGTCTATATGAATTTGACTATTTTAGATACCTCATAGAAATAGAATCACACAGTATTTATCCTGTTGTGACTGGCTTATTTCACTTAGCATAATGTCCTCAGTGTTTATCCATGGTGCAGTATGTGTCAGAATTTCATTCCTTTCAAAGCTGAATAACATTACATTGTATATACAAGCCACATTTTTATTTATCCACTCATCTATCAAACATCACATTTAAAAAATCCATTCATCACTTGCTGGGCATTTTTATTGTTTCCACTTTGGGGTTATTATGAACACTGCTATGAATATTCTTGTACAAGTTTTTTTTTTAATTTAAAATTTTAACACCAAAAGCATTTCGTATTGGGGTATAGCTGATTAAAGGTGGTTTCAGGTGAACAGCAAAGGGACTCAGCCATACATATACATATATCTATTTTCCCCCAAACCTGTCTCCCATCTAGGCTGGCACATAACATTGAGCAGAGTTGCATTTGGTCTACAATATGTCTTTGCTGGGTATGCATTTTATATTCTGTACAAGTTTTCTTTTTTTTCCCATTTATTTTTATTAGTTGGAGGCTAATTACTTTACATATATTCTGTACAAGTTTTTATATGGCCATATATGTTCAGTTGTCTTAGATATATTCCTAAGAGTGGAATTGCTGAGTCATAGATAATGTTAAAGTTTTTGAAGAACTGCCAAACTGTTTCCAAAACAGCTGCTCTATTTTACATTTCCATTAGCCGTATAACTATTCTAATTTCTCTACAGCTTTGCCAACACTTGTTATTGTCTGTGGTTACAGCCATCTCAGTGGATGTGAAGTAACATCTCATTGTGGTTTGGTTTACATTTCCCTAATGACAAATGATGTCATGTTTATTCTTTAAATGGAAGAGGGAAAGGGATGTGCCCCAGAAAAGTGTTCTAGTATCTTGATTCTCAATTACTGTGAGGAGTGGAGGAACACAGTGAGTGAGGGTCAACAGGATTGCTCAGGGAAAAATCTAATATCAATACTATTGATAATAACATTACTAAAATAATAAGAACTTACAGTACCAGGCACTTTTGTAGGTGCTTTTTCATGTTATCTCATTCAATAACATTTGAGGCACTCACACTTCATATCTATAGGAATGAAGCATTTTTTAAAAGCATTCTTAAGGGATTCAATCCTTCAAGGGAAGTCATACTTATGAACCCTGCTTGTTCTGACATCAACTTTTATTCCCATTACCTTTTTTCCCCTATGTGTCATGTTCTCTGTCAGTTTCACTCTGAATAGCCTGGGACTCCTCTTCCTTTTCTAGTTGACAGCCAGCTCCACCTAGAGTCTCACCTTTCGTGTTTACTCCTGGTCTGGGACTACTTCCTAACACATAGGGACTAAGAACTGAACATACTTTTCGCTGATTGACTCAGCCTGAGTCACTGAGAGTGAGGCTTGATCTCCATTTTCTCCCTTCTTTCAGTCAAACATATTTAGTCAGGAGCACTGGACCAAACCAAGTCCATCCCCTCTGGTCCACTGCCTCATTGTGAAAAGTCAAAAGAACAGCTCTGAAATGCATCACACATTGCCAGTGAGAAGGGCTGAAGTGACTGTGGTGGACTAGTTTGAGGTGTTCTGCTTCATGGAACACAGTAAAGTGTTAGGGCTGAAAATCAGCGGACTAAATTTAGTAATTCCAGATGTTACTGATAACATCCAAGTCTTTGATCACTAATAATATTGTTGATCCTTCAGTATTTGGGTCAATTTTGTTCTACCAGCTGATTAATTATATCTTAGTCATGTCTCTCAAAGTTTTCCCACAGGTTTACTGTAAGTTCACTGTAGCTTTCACCTAGTTTTTCCAGCCCACAGTCAACAGAAAGACTGCTTATCTACCTGGAGAATATTTATTGAGTCTGGGCACAGGCACATTTTATGGACAACTGAAGGAAAAATGAAAGAAGCTTTGAAGTTCTAAGCATAGATTTTAAAAATATAATTGTTAGACATAAAATTCAGGTATAAAAAAGGGATTTGTGCATGACTATTCAAACAGGAACTTAATTCATTGTAATACACCACATAATTACACTAAGTCACCAGGGAAACAATATCAACAATCAAGTCTGCTTTAATGCTCAGAAATTAAATGAAAGTTTCAGATAAAAGTAGTATCATATGATCATCTCAGTTATGATTGCTGGGTACTCTCAGACCATGTAGACCTCGTTAAGGCTTTTAGCTTTTAAATACCAGTTTGACTGGTTGCACATTCCACACAATGTAGACACTCTTCAGAGGATAAAGGTAATAAGGAAGTGACATTCTGCCTCTCCCACAGGCGTGTACAGAGTAGTATAACATGTTTGAGTTTTGCTGTAGGTTAAAAATCAGAAGAAGACTATCCCAAGGAATAGATTAAATCACATCCACTAATGTCAGACTATCACAGGCAGGGTCAAAGGGGAAAATAGTAAAAATGTCTTGGAGGTATTAAGAAACAAGAAAAGAGATCGTACACCAATTATTTCCTAAAAGTACTCCTACAAATTATTTTCTGCATATTTTCTGATTGAAAATTCTATAAACAACTTTGAGACATGATGGATTTGTATGCTTTTGGGAACTGCATATAAATTGCTAATATTCTTTTCTTGATCCTCTTGGGAATTTGTGAACATGTTTCTGTTCAGTGCTTTGGAGGAATGAGTATTGAAATATCAATGCATGGATAAGTATACGTGTATATGTTTTGTATGATTAGCCAGAAGTATCTGTAACTGTTCTATGAATTTTACACAGATACTCAGTATGTTTTTACTTAAAAAATAAAAACATATTTAGGCAGAGTCGCTATCAATGACCGTTCAAAAATGATTTTTCAGAGTGGGCAACAGAACATAGTGTTGACATCGATGGTTGTAAACAATGTTGAGGAGAGATTCATTCTTTGTAGGTTTCACATTTGTTTCTGTTTTGTATCATTTCCTGTACCTGAGGAGAATGAAAAAAAATTTTTTTTTCCACTTGCAGTTTTGATCTACTTGGTACTATCATATTTTGTAGGGTTAAAAATATATAGAAAATCAAAATATAGACGTCCTTATACTGACTTGAGTTCCCTGGTGGCTCAGATGGTAAAGCATCTGCCTACAATGTGGGGTACTTGGGTTCAATCCATGGGTCGGGAAGATCTCCTGGAGAAGGAAATGGCAACCCACTCCAGTATTCTTGCCTGGAAAATCCCATGGATGGAGGAGCCTGGTGGGCTACAGTCCATGGGGATGCAAAGAGTCGGACACGACTGAGCGACTTCACTTCACTTATACTGACTTGGTACAAATAATTTAGATTTTGATAACTCAAGACTACATGTTGAAAACATCTAGGAGAACGATTAAAAGTATAATATTAAGAAGATTACTAGGGCAGTGACCTTTTTCTGTATGATAGTGTAAATACATAGCATATACATTAGTCAAAACCTATAATGTATAACACAAAGAGTGAAAGTCACTGAGTTGTGTCTAACTGTTTGCAACCCCATGGGCTATACAGTCCATGGGATTCTCCAGGCCAGCATACTGGTGTGGGTAGCCGTTCCCTTCTTCAGGGTATCTTCCCAACCCAGAGATCGAACCCAGATCTCCCACATTGCAGGTGGATTCTTTACTGCCTGAGCCACCACGGAAGCCCAAGAATACTGGACTGGTTAGCCTATCCCTTCTCCAGCAGATCTTCCCGACCCAGAAATTGAACAGGGGACTCCTGCATTGCAGGCAGATTTTTTATCAACTGAGCTACCAGGGAGCCCATACACAAAGAAACTTTATGTAAATCATGAACTTTAGTTAATAATAATGTATCAAACTGGCTGACCAATTGTAACAAATGTACCACAATAATGCAGAATGTTAATAATAGAGGAAATGGGGGGAGATGAGAGTAAGTGGGAACTCACTGTACATTCTGCTTAATTTTTCTGTAGACCTAAAACTATTCTAAAAAGTAAAGCATATTAATTAAAAAGATCACCTCAATGTAAAACCAAAAAACAAACTGAGTATAACTTCTAAATAGAAAAATGGAACAATAAAGGAGGACAAAAATAGAGGAAAAGAAACAAAACAGGTGGGACAAATAGCATAGATTCAAACCCAAATATATCTTTAACAACATCAAATATAAAAGGACTACTCTAATTAAAAGCTTGTCAGATTTGAATAATTATAAAAATTATAATATACACAATTAATATTTATAAGAAAAATGTCTAAAATGTAAGGACAGAGAAAAGTTAAAAGTAATAAAGATGGAAAATATATACCATATAAACACTGAGTAAAATAAATCCGGTGTAGCTGTAACAATATTGGAAAGAGTAGTTAGAGTTCATGTTATACTCCTTAATGATAAAAAATTCAATTTACCAGAAAAATATAAGAAACTAAATTTATAAGCACCTAATAACATTAGCCCTAATTACACATACACAGCATAAATTGACAATAATATTGGAAAACTTGAATAACATGTTTAACAAACCTGATCCAGTGGGTATATTTAGACACTTCTCAATAACTGAAGAATAAATATTTTTTCAATCCCAATTAATCCATTCACAGCAATTAACTATATGCTGTATCATAAAGCAAGTAAATACATTTCAAAGATTTGAAATCTTGTTCTATGAGTATAGTGCAATTGACTTTGAAATCAATAACCAAAGGGCAACAAGAAACCAATATTTAGGTATTTATATAAATAATCTACTGCTCAAAAATCCATATGTTGCAGAATAAATCATAAAGAAAATTAGAAACTATTTTGAGCTAAATAAAGTAAAAATACCACACACTTAAATCTGTGTGATAAAACTGTAAGAGCATATAGTATATATTAATAATATATAGCTTAATATATGAAGATCTGCTTCCTATATGCAAGAAGAAACACTAAAAAAATGAATTCTTCAAATAACACCTGTGTACTGTAGACAAAATACAAACCCCCCCTACAAAAGAAAAAACCTACAAACTGAAACAAAGCAAAACGTCTTACAACTACATGAAGGTTCTGGACACAAAGCAGGTAAGTTTTGAAGAGGATTCTAAACTTAGAGCAAGTGACCAACATGGAATGAATTCCTCAGTTTTCATAATTTTGACCCCAAAACAGTCATGACCCACAAACATAGCTGTGGCTGCACCAGAATACCTCAAACTCTGATAGAAAACCCATTGCTTTTCTGGAGGGAAAAATCACAGAAAGTGGCCGGGTCAAATGGCAGATGCTGAAGAGTGAGGGGGAATCCTCGAAGAGGGAAGGTCTGTGCATGAACTCTGCACACGCCTTAGGTTGCCTTCTGAAGCATTCATTCATAGGTCAGATTCAAACTAGTAGTAGCAAAAAGAAGTGACCACAGAAGGCAAGAGAGAGTGCTCACAGTTCAAATCTAACCACGTTAACAGCCAGTTAAACAAAAACAAGAGCTTCATCACTTGTCAGAAGAATATGACAGAACACAGTCTGCACAGCACAATATTTAAGGTGTTCAAGATACAATCGAAATTATCCTAGTTACAAGAAAATCTAGAGAATGTAATTCATTTTAAATGGAAAAGACAACATTTACTTCTTCCTTTCTGATTTGGAAAGCTTTTACTTTTTAAATTTAAAGTAGTTATTTATGCCTAATTGCTCTGGCTAGGACTTCCAGTGCAAGGAGCACATGGAGAGCAAATAGGCTATTCTCTATTTTTGCATATGTTTGAAATGTTCAATAGTTGAAGAAAATTTACAGATGAACAGCATAAAAAGAACATCTAGAACATATTCTGTTCCTTGAAGGAGAAGAAAGGGGGTAAGGGGGGAGGGATAGAAACAGTATTTGAAAAAAATTCTGGCTGCAAAAATTTCAAAATAGATGAAAAGCATTAAAACCCAAAGGTCTGGAACTCATATTTCCTTTAAGACCAGATTTCCCTCTTGTTTAAAACAACTAAAAAAAATGAACAACATATAAGAAACAATGGTTTTCATGATATTAGGCAACAAAGGACAGTGCTCTGTGAAAGTCAGGAAAGAAATGAAGTGAGCCTTACGAGTGCTCTATCCTATTGTCTTCAGAAAGTTGTCTGGCCTATAGCCAGGAAAGTGAACCCAAGAAGACCTCGCAGACTCCTAAGATGAGCAGATGGAGCTGAGATCCTGGGGAAACCATGGTAGCTATAGTTCACAGGACAGAGTGCCAGAGAGGAGACAACTGCACAGAAAGAACTCTGGAATCTGCAGAAGTTCCCCTTGAAATAATCACGTGTGTGGATCAGTACACGTGTGTGAGGAAACTCCCCGAGGCCATGGAAAGAGCCAAGCCAAGGATATTGCCTATGATCACCAAACTGGAAAACCTAGCGTGATTCATGGGGCACTGGGTAGAGTACTCACAGCGGTCTTGCATCAGGAGTAGGGAATACTTAGTCCAAGATGAACACTGTTCTGCCTCACTCAAAAAAATATCTTGAAAGCAAAGCTGGAACGGATCAGATTGTTTCCAATTAAATCAGCTGGGTCCCCAAATAAAGTCCAAGAATATTTACATGAATGCCCTGACCTCCCCAAAAATCCAGTACCTACTAAGGTAACATTCATAATATATTGCACCAATCAAAAATTACCAGGCATGAACGTGACAGTGTGAAAGTGTTAATTGCTCAGTTGTGTCTGACTCTTTGTGACCCCAATGACTATAGCCTACCAGGCTTCTTTGTCCATGGGATTTTCCAGGCAAGAATACTGGAGTGGGTTGCCATTCCCTTTTCCAGGGGATCTTTCCGAACCAGGGATCAAACCTGGGTCTCCTGCACTGCAGGCAGATTTTTTACCATTTGAGCCTCTGGGACACCTACCTATCACAATGTTATATGTCAATTATATCTCAATAAAAAAATTACCAGGCATAAAAACATCAGAAAAAACCAATTATTATAACTAAATTCTCTATGTTAAAAAAAGTTAAGATATTGACACTACAGAAAAGATAAAAACTAAATTGGGGATGAAAAGTGTACTGTAGATACTGCACAACAAAAGATCAATACCCTTGAAGACAGCAATAGAAAATTGATACATGGAAAGGGGAAAAAAAAGTTAAAAAACATTAATAGAAAATTAGGAAATTGTGAGACAACTTCAACTGCCCTCATATATATGTAATTGGGGCTCCCACAGGAGAGGGACAAGATAGAAAAGTGTTTGAAGAAACAGTGGCTGCCAAACTTCCAAATATGCTGAAAACCATAAGCCCATAAGTTCTTAGTTCAAAGCACCACAGCATAAGAAATATGAAGAAAAATACAACAATACCACTTTAAGTGGGAGTGTAAACTTGTCTGAGTACTTTGGAAAACTTTCGGTTAGCTATCTGTTAAAGCTGAACTTATGTCAATAACCTATGACTTAGCAATTACACTTCTAGGTCTGAACCCAATAGAAATTCGTGCACATGTGCGCCGAGACAAGTATGTGAATGTTCATCACAGCATTACTCATAACAACCAAAAAAAAAAAAAAAAAAAGGAAAAAAAATCAAACGTCTAACTCAGAATAGAGAATACAAAAATGAAAAGGAATGAATAATATGCACAAGATGAGAGAAACCTAGAAACATCAGTTCAGTTCAGTTTAGTCACTCAGTCATGTCTGACTCTCTGTGACCCCATAGACCACGCCAGGCCTCCCTGTCTATCACCAACTACCAGAGTTTACTCAAACTCATGTCCATTGAGTCAGGGATGTCATTCAACCATCCCATCTTCTGTCGTCTCCTTCTCCTCCCGCCTTCAATCTTTCCCAGCATAAGGGTCTTTTCAAATGAGTCTGCTCTTCACATCAGGTGTCCAAAGTATTGTAGTTTCAGCTTCAGCATCAGTCCTTCCAATGAATATTTAGGACTAATATCCTTTAGGATGGACTGGTTGGATCTCCTTGTAGTC